GTTTTAAATAGAAGTTCTAGGGCAAGGTAGCAGTCCTAGTTGGAGTAAGCTTGTTTGTAAAAGGGAAAAAAGTCGAAGGCTGATCGAATGTCACAAAGGACTGATAAGAAGTGGGGGTTATCTATCGCATCAGAGCCACGCGAATAGTGCTACTCAACGCAGGAAAAACCAGATCCGCTGTAAACTCTTGGTCGATATTCCCAAATGGTGACCGTTTCTAGCACTAGCGAACTGAGTAGGAGTGATCAGTATTTACTGGTAAAATGTATGTGGCCATAGAGGAACCCTATTTAAGAGGATCCGACATTTAGGAATCGATTTGGTCCGAAAAGGATGGGTGCACGATTTGCATAGCATATTCACGGGATCAATTACATCGATTACCGCCTAGACCAATCAACATGCCATCTCTCCGAGGTCGACTTAATTGGTACCAGGTTTGTCTGTGACCAGTGACATGAGCATTAGGTACCCCTACAGGTCATTATAGAGGTCTATTATGAATTCAAATGCTTTCATAAGTGCAATGGGATATAGCCTTGGAGCCAATGCGAAGCCTGGGGCCAATCACGACTGTCGAGTTTTGGTCACCTCTGATGCAAAAGGGGTATGTGCCTGAATAGCGTCCGTCTCAGAGACCCTTAGAGCTGGGAGTAACTTCATAACTTGTAAAGGAATAAAGAGACCATTGCTCGAGACGCGATCTTCAAGAAAAGAACGTGGGGGATAGCAATTTAGTTGATTTGTGAACATGGGATGGTTCGCTAGAACAGGAGCCGTATCAAATCTTCCCCCAGGCTAGAGGAAGCTGAAATCCTTTGAACTTTCATCGTCTTCCCAACCAGAATAGCCCTAGAAAAATCGTAGTTGAAAAGTACGTATGCGTGTAAAAGTGAACGTCTACTGAGAATTAGGAGACTTTCCTTGGAAAACAATAAATTTAAAGGGAGTTTCTCTTTTTTTTCTTCCCTGAGCGATGTTTTCACTTTCTGCCAGCACAAACTTTTCGATGAAAAAATCCAGCGAGGTTCCTTCTCTATCAGAAGTGAGTGTTGGATCTGCAGCGAAAGGTTTACTTTGCAAAAAACCAGAAAGTCTTTTTATTAATTGGGCCCGAACCACAGCCCTGGAACATGAGCCTGATTTGGTGCAGCAGCTGCTCTTTTTTCATACTATTTGTCAAACAGGGACCAATAGTCCAATCGCAAACGCCTCTCCTCCCCTGCCCTCCAAAATCGCACGCGGTTGACGTCGCGTCGTTATAGCCAGTCGGTTCCCTTTTAAGACCTAAGATGGGGCAAAAGCCTAGTGTGTATGCTAGAGGACCCGAATGGCTGCCATTTTCCTTCCTATCACGAGCATTCTGTTTCTAAAGTGATAAACATCGGTCAAAGAAAAGAAATGCTACACAGGACTGTAAAAACTCGTAAGTAACTCGGCGTTGGGCTGTATCCGTTGTTCATTAAAGGAATCCTGCGACGGGAAAAAATTCTTGCACTCTTTCCTAACATGAATATGTCAGTTGTGATCACTGGAAATAGCACACAAAGTTTCACGCATGAAGATTCGGTTTCTGAAGAGAAACAAACGTACAAAAACTACACGTTATGGACCATCGAAGGACCAGGAGGCAGAGCCAGGCGAGGCATGGAAAGAAGACGGCGTTTGGCCGGCTACGTACCAGGCGACGCAATGAGAGAATCGGGTTAAAGCGCGCGATTTCGGAGAGTGGAGACAAATCGATCGATGGAATAGGATGGAGTAGAAGTGTAAGATGTGAATGCAACGAAGCAGAAGGCCAGAAAGAGCTTCTAGTGAATGCACTCCAAGAACCAAGTTTGAGCATCCCCGTCGCCAGCATTCGTGAAAGACGTCCGTGGGCAATTCGAACGCGTAGCAGCCTTTTCGAGTTTTCGAATTTCTAATCAAAACGAAAGCAATACTTCAGTTCTTTTCACTATTATCGTGGATAATGAGTCTCAAGCCAGTGATTTATGGCTGAAATAGAATCATGATTTTTCCGCGCAAGATTCCTTTAAGGTCAGTTACGTATGAACTTCGTATAATTTTACTCGAAGGCTCACCATGAAACAGAAAAACGAAGCTGTACTTCTTCCCTAAGGCTGAGGGGAGAGGGCGAATCCTTAAATTTTAGTTCGTCTTTCCAAAAGAATCGCCCTAGAGAATTCACCAATTGAAATGTAAGTATGTGTGTAAAAGTAAGCATGTACGGGGCAGAAGAAATATGATCGTTTGAAAAATACGAAACTTGCAAGGATTTCATTTGCACCAGTTGGGAATTCATGATGGACACAGTTCGTGGCTCTGCACGGTTGGGGCAAGCTGCAGTGACCTGAACAATGCTTCTGAGTTCACGGCCTAAAGTTGATTCATTTACCATCCAATCAACACGACTTACCGATAACTACAAACTCAGATAACGAGTTGAATGAGCAGTTCATGCAGTGACAGACAGGACCTCGGGGAATGGATACGGTGTTTCGCCTGAGTAAGAGGTGTAACGGAGCCAAGTACATAAAAGGAGAGAGGATAAGCTTCGTTGCCCATTAATCAGCTCCCGTATTGGCGGATTCGCCGGTTCGCATTCTAGTTCCATTTTGTACATTCGCGTTGCGTTGACTGTGTAATGTGGCCTACAAATGATTGCGGGGGTCCCCCAATGTTACTAGTCCGGTCAGTATCCGTCTCAGACAGTCTGGGTACCGATCTTTACTTGGCCTGGACAAGCCACGACCCAAGATTACCGCGCACGTTGGTAGCGGTGCCAGCTGCCATTACACCACTTCGCTCCTATCCAGTAATATGAAATTGAAAACTTTTCCTTCAGAGCATATTGGTTTTTGTGGTGGATGTATAGGCCAAAAACGCGCTCAGCTTTCCCACAGTTTTAAACCAAAAATGTATATGTGGCATCTTCAGAAGATATTGATTTATATCACTACCATTGTCATAGAATTAGTGACCGCTTGTAAATAGAAGTTTCGCCTATAAAAATCGCATCGAGATTGAATGCATGGCGCATTCCGAGAAGCCTTGCCAGCGGTGTACACGTTGTTCGTGGACAACAAAAAGCGATACGTGGATATATTCAGCTGTACGTGACGAGATGTCTACGATGTAAATGTCATTTGAGCTCTTTTAATTGAGTATCTCCATCTACAGTATCTGGCACACGTCTCAAAGGACAACTCATTTGCATATCATCATCATCGTCGTCGCACCATGGTGCCTCGTGTGAGATACGGTAGCAGCCCTCATTGCATCAGCTTGATCTCATCAAATAAATATGTGAGCACCCAATACATGCGAGATTACCTGGTGTGCCCGTGGAGGCAATCACGCATCTCACAAACACGTTCTGCGCCTCTCGGCAACGCGCACTACCTGCGCTCCTCCTGACTCATCTATTCTCGAGTACCGTTGATTGGATAGGTTACTGCGGGAGTAGCACGGCGACCAAGCCACACACACAGAGCCTGACTGAGACACCATCAATGACTGATGACCATGGCAACGACGACGACTTGTCAGCTCGTCGTCGACGTGGATGTCGTCGTCATCGCAGATTTACAGACAACACGGCGGCGAAGAGAAAGAGCCGATTAGAGCAACCACTGAAGCAGCTCTTCTGAGGCTGAAACCCTGAATAGTCTCTTCCCGAGAAAAGCCATCTGAGGCACAATTTAGGAGCAGCTTCCTTTTTTGTCATAATAATGGGTTCCAACTGCTCCTGCGTTCTTAATGACAGCAGTGGAAATCGGTTTCCCTTATGATGTCTGTCCATTTCCAGTCAATTTCGAACAAAATCACTTCGCAGATTCCCTAATGCTATACGAATTCCTTAGGTATAGTAAAAATAGAGGGAGTGAATACAACGGCAAGATGACTAGACTGGTAATAGTGTAGGGTATGCTTCCTGAGCGATTCTTCCAAATTCAACTATGATTAGCAGCTGTGACCTTTCCAATGTTCACAGCTTTTAAAAACCAGAGAATTTATTATTTTTTGTAGCAAAAAAAATCCAAAGGCACTGATTTTTGGTGGGAGCTTCTGTAGCACGCTATAGATCAAGTTACAGATCGAAGGAGTTCCCATACAACAAATTTGGTTTTCATTTCGAGT